GCGCGAGAATGTTCGCCGGGTGGTCACTATCCCTGAGGACCTCCCTCTTAGTGTATCCGAACGTAGCGTATTGAGTCGGGGACTGAATTTCATTCCGGTTAAATCTAAAGTAAATGAATTTCAGGTGAAACGCGACGCTGACAGTTTTTTTCGCCGACTTAGACTGAAGGAGTACCATGCGCAGGACGCTGATCGCGATCGCGATGAAGCTAGCCAGGACATGGATACTATTCACAACGCTCGTTTATTTGGAGCACCACCATCTGTGTCCTATTGGACACCACCACCTGGTCGTAATGATACTCTGGATCATTATATAAGTGTATGTAGACGAGAAATACATACTATTAAGTTTAATAATCAGAAATGGCAAAATAGCAATATAACTCGTCAGGAACGTGACGCTCTTAATTCTCTTAAGTCACGACGTGATGAGATTGTTATTAAGCCAGCTGACAAGGGTGGAGCAGTGGTGGTTTGGCGTAGAGATTTGTATCTGGTTGAGGCAGAGAGGCAGTTATCGGATACAGACTCCTACCGGGCACTTGATGTGGATCTTACGAATGAAATACAACGGGAAATAGGTGATGTGGTTAATGGCTATATTGCTAAAGGTGATTTGCCGATAGAGGCCAAAAATCTTATAGTGCGCAGACCACGGACATCAGTCTTTTATCTATTACCTAAGATTCACAAGGTAAACAACCCTGGTAGACCCATTGTCTCAGCATGTAATTGTCCGACTGAGCACATAGCTCGATACTTGGATTCAATGTTGAGACCTATTATTGTTCGTTTTACTACAAGAAGAGTTCGTGATTCTGTGTTCAAAAATCGTAAAAAGCTAGCTGATGTCAATTCATCAAACATCGGGTATCGAGCTGCAAATGTTATCTATATTAATGAGAACTTAACACCAATGGCGAAATCATTATTGACAAAGGTAAACATCAAAAGAAAGCATTTTAAATGGAAATTTATGTGGACACATAATGGTAGAATTTTAATAAAGAAAGACGAATTGTCACCTGTGGTCCATATTGCCGATGAAGAAGCCTTACTAAGATATGCTAATGTCACCATTGTTATGTGTACTTAATGTATAACAACCAATCATATTGATGGATTCAGACTCAATATGCAGTTTACTACAAAATCATAGCATCCTATTCTTTAAATGAGTTCAATGGCAAGGAATCACTTCCTTTGTTATCATCCATCCCGGTTCGGAAACTTCAATTTATAAAATACCACCATATAACTTTATTAATAATAGCCGCAACTACCCAGTGGTGGTGGTGTGGGTCTTTATGTACACCAGTCATTATCATATACTATGATTGATTCAATTACTTTACGTCACTGTGAATCATTATTCGTGGAAATACAAATAGGCATTAAACAAATCACAGTAGGAGTTATCTATCGCAAACCAAATACACCTGTACATGAATTTCTGGAGAGTTTTGAAGTCTGTCTCGAACATTTTTCAAGTAATAAAAAACGTTGTGTTATCCTCGGTGATTTCAATATAGATGTTAGTTGTACAAATATTTCACAATTGGAATATGTTACCTTACTTAATGAAAATAATTTTCAACAAATCATAGATGTTCCGACCAGAGTAACTAGTACTACATGCACAACAATAGACCATTGTCTCATACATTTTTCTGATTATTTCATCGAAGGAGGTACTATTGAAACTGATATTAGTGACCATTTCCCAGTGTTTGCCATATTCAGGGATCTACATCATGTTTTTAACAGAAAGTTGGTTAGTATTAAATTTGACTTCTCGCAGTTTCATTCAGATGCATTTGAAGCGGAAATGGCCAATATTTCTTGGACAAATATTTATAATTTATTGGATCCGAATTTGGCATATGATTATTTTTATAATTTGTTTAGTGATATAATTACTAAACATCTACCTAAGAAAATGATTTATTCTGCATCAAAATCATCACAAAAACCATGGTTATCTAAGGGGCTTCTCATTTCAATTAATACAAAACATAGACTTTTCTCAAAAACTAAGCGACATAGTCCCAGTTCACCAATTCACATTCAATACAAAATTTATCGTAATATTTTGTCAAAATTATTAAAAATTGCTAAGAAGTCTTACTTTTTTGGCAAGCTGGCAAATGTTATTGGAAATAGCAATACAACATGGCAGGTATAATCGAACTGCGGAATAATCAGTCATGTAATGATCGTTTTCCACATAACTTTAGAGTGAGTACTAACCCAGATGAATTTGTGACAGAGGGTAGGGATATTGCTGAGAAGTTTAATTCGTATTTTGTTAATGTTGGTCCAAATTATGCATCTAAAATCTCTTGTAATGCCAGCTTCAATGATTACCTTGATAGTAGACAATCACATTCATTATTTTTCCGCCCAGTTTGTGCTCATGATATTTTAAAAGAGATCGATAAATTAGATCTTAATAAAGCATTTGGCTATGACAATATGTTCCCTAAACTTATCAAGCAGGCTGCTGAACAAATTGCTGAACCACTGGCCCATATTTTTAACTGTTCTGTGTACACGGGTATATTCCCTGATAAATTAAAAATAGCCCGGGTTTCTCCATTATTTAAAAAAGGTTGTGCATTTGAAGTTGGTAATTATAGACCGATATCAGTGTTACCCATTATTAGCAAATTGTTTGAATCTTTAGTAAATAAACAAATGTGTGTTTTTCGAGAAAAGTTCCAAATTCTTGATGAAAACCAATATGGATTCCGTAAGCATCACAGCACCAAATTAGCTTTAGCTGACCTTACTGCTGAGATTTCAAAACAAATAGATGACGGTTTTATCACATTTGGTATTTTTCTAGACCTCAGAAAGGCTTCTGACACCATTAACCATACCATATTATTGTCTAAATTACATTATTATGGTATAAGAGGGTCTACTTTGAGTTGGTTTGAATCTTATTTAGAAGACCGCCAGCAATATGTTAATTTAAATAATTGTAATTCTGATTATAAAGTAATTTCTTGTGGGGTCCCACAAGGGTCCATTCTTGGACCACTTTTGTTTTTAATTTATATAAATGATATTGTAAAATCATCCAACATTTTCCAGTTTAGCTTTTTGCTGACTTCACAATCTGTTTCACTCCGTTAAAAATGATTCTATTGATATTGACCTACTTAATTC